GCCCTAATGTTCTTCTGTATAATTCTTTAAACATTAAAAAAAAAAAGAAATTCAGAACCATAATTTGCTTTTCAAACCTGCTCATCATGCACCAGCTGTCAAAAGGCCAGCATTTTTCCTCTGTGAAGGAACTGAACCTGATCTGATGGGACTCCTGCCTTAATGACAGATAATCCAGAGCAGCATCACAGTATGCTTTAGCTTTTTCTATAAACAAGTTAACAAGATTTTTCCTCGCTAGACGGACAGGCAGATGATGTGATGATTTCACAGCCCTATTAATAGTGATTAAAGTGTGCCTCCTTCTCCAGACTGACTGCTGCTTCTGAATGATCTCATACTATGATCTGATTCAAGAAGAATCCCTCTGTTCTCTGCGTGTCCAGCTCTGATCCTGCTGCTGCTGATGTGTGGAAAAACGAGAAAGGGCCAGACACGAAATACATGAACGCTGCAGTAGGATTTCCCCTCATCACTCGAGACAAACACCGTGTTTTTCTTACGACTCCAGGGGGGATTTCTGGTACATTGGGGGGAAAAAAACACAGACCCAAGGCCCGTTTTTCTTTCTGCCTGCTTGTATGTCTGACTATGTGAGGAGTTGGATTAAAGATAATGACAAAAAAAAAAATGCCGCCCCTGGACATAACAGCTTCCTATTTAGCTGTAAGTTAGCAAAAAACACGGATCTAATTAAAAAGAATATCACCTCCTTTAAATGCTTAGCTAGCTGTCATCAGTCTGAACAACCTCCTCGCAGCGGTTTAGATGTTATTTTAATAAATATTACATATAAACCGAACATTTTATGTTAAAGGGCTAAGCACTCACCGATAGAGCTCCCCCTCGGCTGGCAGTACTGTCCTCCCAGCTACATGTTCCTCCTCATCTCCGCCCGCCGCCCTTTAACATCCACAGCATGAGCTTCCCACAATCTGCGAAACAATACAGCAGCAGCCAATCTATGTAGCGCAACAGCTGATGCTATAAATAGAAATGCCCAGAGGGGTGGACGGGGTTTTTGGATGAAACATTTGGCTCCGCAATGCTGTTTTTTCGTTTACAGTAGAATTATTTGAATGCTCCTTATGCTTTTTATTATTTCTTGATGTTGGTTGCTGCTTTGGTTGTTTCAAATAATTTAGTTCATTTAACCAAAGCGCCGATACATCTCCCCCTTTTTGTTAGCAAAATGGTCCGTTCCCTTCTATAGTGGACTTCTTTAAAGAGATAGTCCGGATAAAATAAGCGCCCCTTTATATATAATATGGGAAGAAATATAGTTTTTTTTCTTCTTTTTTTCAGATATTCCTAAATCAAATGTTCATCCTAACCCATAGGTTTCACCAGCTGGTGGCGGTATAGCGCCAACTAGCTGTTTGTCAACCGCCAATAAACAGAAGACCTATCTTTTTTGTCTGTTTGATTTTAAATACGTTTTAAAGAACCTTTTTTTTTACATTTTGAAATACAAAAAGATACCAGTTAATTACCATAAAAAACCTGTAAAACTGAGATTATATATATATATATAATGTGTGTGTGTGTGTGTACCTGTCTAGCCCTCAGAGGTTAGACGATTTTTCCTATTTCACCATTAAATTGAGGACCAGTTGTTGCAAAGTGAGGACATTTTGCCGGTCCTCACATGCTATTTTGCTTATGGTTAGGTTTAGGGCTAAGGTGTAAATTGGTTAGGGTTAGTGTGAGTTATGCATTGGTAATGGTTAGGTTTATGGTTAGTTTTAGGGTTAGGGCATAGAAGGAGTTGAAAGTGACTGAAAATCAATGTAAGTCAATGGGAGTCAACTCCCATTGACTTACATTGATTTCCTCACGATGGCAGAACAAGTATGTGCATGTTTGTGTGTCCTATATGCTTTTGTGGATTTAAAGAAATAAGACTAAAGTTAAACAGTTATATGTAGTTCAACAACAGTACATGAAAACATTGAACGATTCTAGATTTCACAATTCTACATCAAATCTTATATGAATGTATTCCAAAATACATCACTTTTTTTTATCAACAGGGGTGGTAGTCAGAGTTCAAGAATTCAAAATTAATATAGGGAGAAAACTAAAGGCTTAACTTTTCTTACAGCAGAAAGTATTGCATAACTCCTTTAAGTAGAGTGGATTGAGAGGACCAGACCATTAAAAAGCTGGTGTTTCAAGCCAGATTCAGGTTCACCATTAACAGCTTTACAAGAAAATTATTAAGAAAGCCGCCCTGATATAACCTTAGAAATTTAACAAACATGCTACATTCAGATGATGGGGTTAACAGTGGGGTTCTTCTGAGTTCCTGCTTGTATTGGCTAAAAGAAATAAAATGGCACATAAGAGGGCCAAATAGTCAACAAAGTGCAATGATAAAGGATTTGTATCAAAAATAAAATCAGAGGTTAACTGTGCTATTGAAAGAAAAAAAAAGAAAAAGACCATATCAGTTGAAAGCAGATATGAAAGGGGAACGGCTCAATAAAACACAAAGAGGAAAGGATAATAACTAGATCACTGTTGGGACACACAAGAATTTATTCATTATTACAAAAAAAATGGAAAACATGAAACAGGAAGATGTGAACTCTGTAGCGGAAAGTAAAACACAGAGGCAGGGAGGCTCAGAGGTCCAAATACAGAAACGGATCAGGATCAGATACTATAGAAACGCTAGTGAAATCTCAACACCAAAGGCCCAAGAATAATCTGGCACTGATGGCTGGGACCAATGAGTTAAAATAGAAGCAGGATCAGGTGGATCAGATGAGCAGGGATCAGGAACAGGGCAGAGCTAGACAGGTGAATGAAATGACCAATCAAGCCAGCCATCAGCACCAAAATCATGACTGTAGATATCTGTCAGCAATACCAGACACAATGGATCCAATTACTGAGGAATCCTAAAAAAGAAAAGGAACACTATAATATTCTATATATTTTAGGAAAATGTATTTTTGGTATGAGCTATAAAAGCTTTTTTTAATTGGTTAATGGATTGGTAAAGATATGTTTCCTTTTGTTTTTGTTTGTTTTTTTTGTTTTTTGGTGTTGATATCTGCTAGTTTCTTTTCTTCTTTTTTGCTTGTCCAGGCCCACAACCCTTACTTAGTTTGATGTTATTTGACAAACCAAATAAAAATCAAGGTAAATAAGAAGATGATGAAGAATATTCCAGCTAGAAAAGTTTCTGCTACAATATTGGAAAAACGGGGATCATCAAAGAAGAAATGTGTTGCCGCAATGTAATACATTTTGTCTAAGGTGGCACATTTACATTATTCCTCACTTTAATAATTTTCATTAACTGCACAACTCAAATCTTTTTTGTTGAAGTTACAGATAATAATCTCGGCTTACGTATACTGGATATAATGAAATCATTCAAATACGTTCAAAACAATATTTTCTTTTAATCTTGAATTTGAACAAATGTAGAGAATTTTGGTTACTTTTACTGAACTAAAACAGGAAACGTTTAACTTGAATTAATGTCTAACATTCATAGAAAAGTGATGTTTGTTTTTACAATGCGTGTTTATATGTAGCTTTATCTACATATATAAATAAGATTTTCTACTCTTTATATACCTACTTCAGTTTGACATAAAACCTTTCAAAGTGTGAAGATGCACAGGAAAATGAATTGATTTGATTTTAGATTTGCATATATTCACACCACAAAAACTAGACCCTGTTTGAAAGCAGTTTGAATCCATATGGACTTTACATCTGCCTGGCCATGTTCTGACAGATGCTACACTCTGAGTGACTTAGAGGTTATTAACAATACCTGCTTTTACCCACTTAAAAGAAGTGCTTCCCTTAAACCTTGGTAATTATGCGGTTGTTTGTCAGCAAGAACTGAACAGTTGCTTCAAGCCACAAATGACTGGAGAGAGACACTCAGTAACGTTGCTCCCTGAAACATGCTAATACATAATTCAAGCAAGCATTCAGTCGTTGGTTAGAATTTGCCCACTCAGCCTTTTATAAAGACATTCATGCGTAAATAAGAAGGGGGAGAAATTTAGGGCTACAAATGTAAAACACCAGCATCATTTACAAAGTAATGTCTATTTTACACCAATCTGACCGTTTTTAAGACTTGTTTTGATTGGTAACTATCAGAAGACACTATCACGATGTATGTGCTTTTTAAAATTATATAAAAGTAAAAATAAAATGGCAACATGGGTCTTCACTAACACACTTGATTTCTGGTGTGACTAAGGTTATTGTTACTTTTTATCACGTCTATATCAATATGGCAAAAATGTTGTACAATTTATAACATGTCTAAACACATTTCATTTTAATTTGTCAGGCCAAACGGCACTTCATTTTTACTGTCTTCTTAATCTCTGATGTAGAATCATCTGTAAATTTCTCTGTTAATCTTGATCTAGCAGGTTGATTTAAGCCTGCTTTCAGTTTAAAACCATGTCTATTTGGATGTGTTGATCAACCAATGATGATGAAAAATAACTGTTTTAAACATCATCCAGGACGTTTTGTTCATCCAGCACCAATTTAAGTCAGAGCAACATGGACACTTCCTTCAGCAGGTCCAGCAAAGGATGTACTTCCTACCCCAGCCTACAAGAAGATGGACCTGCATAAGGAGCTGCTGATCTACTTCTGCTGCCTTCATCTGTCATGAATCGGAACAGAGGACCCAGTATTTAGACAAGACAACCAGAAGGATTACTCAAAAAACGTTTATTGAAATAAACGGGTCTGTGATAACAGCTGCTAGGACGTCTGAGGCAGGAAACTCTAGAGACAGGAAATACAGGTTAGTGACCACATAAATGTAACGGAGGAAGATTATGAACGTGAGTCACTAACCTGGTTTACAAGTTTAGTCCATAGCCAAAGAACAAGGTAGGATCCAGCCAGTGGGCTGCCAACAAGATGCGGCAGGCGCCACGCAGAGTGTCCCAGACGCTGCAGCCCCGTAAAACTAGACGGGGTCTGAAGCCAGGTAAGGCAAACCGATTAGAACAGTAACAGGCAGGCTCAGAGGTCCAGGAATCTAAAGACAGTTCAGGCTAACATTTCAGAAGGGACCAGATAGGCTCAGTGGTTGAGAGGCAGAACAGGTCAGGATCAGGTAACTAACGAACACTAAAATCATTCTCACCACTGTCTAGAACAACAAGAATAATCTGGCCCTGATGACTGGATGCAAGCACCGTTAATAGATGAAGGAGCAGGTGGATCAGATGAGCATTGATGAGAAACCAGGCAAAGTTATACAGGTCAATGAATGAGTAATTAAGCCAGTCATCAGCTCCAAGATTATGACATCATTGAGTCTCAACCTCTGTCTGGTTTGGATATGCTACCAAAAAGGATGAGGGCAGCCTATTGTACAATAATAAAACAGGACTGCAGAAAATATCAGGTGTTTACCTGTCCTCCTTATACAATACCAGAGCCAGGAAACAGGCAGAAAAATGACTGCAGATCTATCTCAACCTGGCCATGTTGGTCCAACCTTTTCCCTCTGGTGCGCGCTTTTTTGTATGAAATATGTTGTATATTTGTGCTCTATATTCTCCAGTATTTTTCTGTTAATGTATAATTAAGCAAATTGTATACATTTTAAGTGAAAATCCACGCATATTCAGAAGTACGTATCTTCTGTATATCTCTCCATTAACTGATCTCTTTCTGCGTCACACCACAACTTCCCTATTGATGTTGGACATGCACCTTACACTATGGTAATGCGACTACAAATTGTCACCATACAATAACTCACCTACAAATTTATCCTAAATGACAATAAGAAAAACCGTAATTAGGCAACAAAGACAGAATACTCATCTTTAATGATTTGTCCACTGTTTTTCTTTAGCCACCCTTCAAAGCCCTTAACACCAACATCCAGTTCCGATGATTTTCTATCCTGCCTGTTGGGATTACTAGATTCTCTTAAATATTTAAACATTACTTTGAATATCTACTAATATCCACTTTACTAAAAAAATCTCTCACAGCTGGAAATGTACCTTTGGTTATAATAGACTGCGATAAAACATTTTCTAGACATATTTTGGATTCAAAGAATTTAATAAAAAGTAAGAGGTTAAAGATTACATACATTTGTTTCAGATCTGCACAATAATTGTCGAGGTTTGCCCTTTTAAAAATGAAATAATTGACTGATTTAAGCTCTAGCAAAAGCAGTCAAGAGTTGGTGAAATGATTGTTTTGGGATCTTTTTTAATTATCTGAGAAATACACACCGGAACAAAGTGAAACTTCAAAAGATTTTAATTTGGCAGATGTTGTTTTACGCCTCCAATAGGTTATGCATTTTCATGGAAAGAGAACATTACTAATGGTCACATTCTTCATGACTTTTATCTCATTTGAACAAAATGCAAAGCTGATTTCCTACAAGGCTTTCAATAAACAACATCTGCCAATATGTTACAGACGGTCTCTCTAATGAAACACTAAATCATTGTCTCAGCATTGATTCGTTAGATAGAAGCAGAATGGTTTGAGCACATGTATTCATGACAATGCAACACAACACAGTACACCTTGGCCTGATTGCATGATTGCTCCACACATACAGAACAAAACGTCCTGGATCGTGGTTCTTTTTGACCAACATTGCTCATAGCTGATCAAAAAGCTTTTCTGGTAACTGTCAATAGATAAAGTTTGCAACAGGATGAGGTTACTGATCCTGAAGGAATTAAATGATGATGAAGTGGACTGAAGTAAAGTATTACAGTTCCTTACACTCAAATAGAAATCCTTGAAATGTGGCAACAATCAGTTCCCTTCATAAAATAACTTTTATTGAGCATTATGTTTGGCATGTTTCTGATTCAACATGTATATAATCTGTAGACAGGCAGCTTCTGCTATTCTCTGTACAGTCCATCTCTTTTCAGCTTTATGAACCAATTAGGAGAATTGTACATTTCTCTCCTCTAAAAGAAAGCTTTAAAATCTTTTCTATGCATATAGTTGCAGTTGAATTATTTTCTGTCATTTTTAATTTTGATTTCTATGGAAGGCACTCTGTTAAAAAAAAAAGAAAAAAATATCTCATTGTAATGAGATGGTAACTCGAAATAATGAGATAGTAACTCAAACCAATGAGATATCTCATTATAATACGATACTATCTCATTATAATGATACAATCTCATTATAATAAGATAGTATCTCATTATAAGATAGTATCTCATTATAACGAGATAGTAACTCAAACCAATTAGATATCTCCTTATAATGAGATGAGATACTATCTCATTATTTTACTCAAAATAATGAGATAGTATCTGATTTTAAAGAGATATCTAATTGTTTTGAGTTACTATCTCATTTTAATGAGATCATTTATTTTATTTATTTTTAACAGAGTGGCGGAAACGGGTTTATTTAATACGTCTTTGCACTCAGATCTATGCACCATCAATTCCCTTTTAAGTTTTTATATTAATTTACAGAAGTTCTAATATTTTCTCATTCTGTAATCATCCAGCAATAGATAGGCTATGGTTTATTTATTTCCTCTTCATTATTTGAATTTGGAAAACCCCTAATTTCCCCCGTTCTGTTGCTGTCGTTAACCTATCGTAAAACGTCTCCTTACGACAGTTTTACTGTCTTTACGGATACCTCCCAGTAGTGTTTTGAATACGCAACTGTCCTTGTAAAGATGCACTGAACATGTGAGTGTATTTCCCTTCAGAGAAAGGTAAAGGCAGCAGAACATTTCTTATTGGACGTGTCGATGTTTGTATCTGTCTAATTTGTTTAAAAATATTATTAAAATACTAGCATTGCAACGTTTGTTGCTAGATTGAGTTAGAAATAGCCAACGTTAGCTTAACCGTTTGTTCTCCTCAGTTTCTCTGGACTATAATATCTCTGTTTTTCCAGGCTAGAGTCGCTTAGGAAATTCAACCAAAAAAGAAGGACAGAGTTATGAAATATACTTTGGTAAAAAGGAAATAAAAAAGAACGAAAATTGTGGCTGCATGTCTGTATAGTGTTGTACAGAACAGAGAACCCCTTCTAACAAGTGTCAAGTATTTATATTTAGAAATAAATGTTTGATTTCATACCAGAGTGTAGCATTGTTTTATTATCCTAAGCTTTTAATATATATTCTGGACAGTTAAGTAACTATTAGTTTATGAAGGTATTAAACAGTAATATTAAGAATCAATTTTCTTACAAATTTTTTGTCATTAGACACTACTGCCAAATGTTACACTGACAGTTTAGTGATTTGAACCTATACTTGTGTTAAACCGGTCTTAATCAACACTCTTATGTTTCTAAGTGTTTTCCATTTCTGTGTCGTCATTGTACTGCTAGTCACTTAGATTTTTAATTGAAAATGTAATGTTTATTAATCTAGTTACTTTATTAACCAACTAATCCATGGCTAAATGTGGCCTCTGAGACATACTGACAACAACTAACATCTTGTTAAAAATCTAACCATGATTTACTTCAGACTTTAAGTTCCCTTTTGGATTAATAAACTATTTTTGCATTGAATTGAATATAAAATACATACGAAGGGAAATTTAAAGTCATAGTGTTTGTGCAAAATTTTAGTAACCCTCGCGTTCATTTGAGTAATTAAGAACGCACCTGGTACTGACTGGATTTTTTGGTAAATATCTGGTGTGGATGGGAGGTTTTGTAAAATTATTTTTTTTACCAGTTTTTTAGAGCTTTAAGCATTCAGTTAACATTATTTTTTGTTTGGACTTAGTTACAAGACATTTTTAATAATTAGTTTGCTGCAAAGTCAAAACCACCTGTTACCACCGTAGGCCTTTGGTTGAAATTTTGGTCTTTTTTTTTGGTCCAGAAGGCTGCAATACATAGTTTCTTTTTTTTATGAGTTTTTACGGCACTAGTGGCTTGTTTTTTTTCGACTGTAGGCTGACAGGAAAGGGGGTATGACAGAGAGGGGCAGAGACATGCAGTAAAGGACCACAGGTCGGACTCGAACGGAGTCACCCGCGTCGAGGACTAAGGCCTCCATACATGAGTCGTGCCCGCTAACCACTGCGCCACCTGCACGCCCAATGCATAGGTCACTGATTAAAACCTCTAGTAACTTTTCTGTTTTGAAAAATTTCAATTCATTGACTTCATTGGTATTGTTGGGGGGTTCCAGTAATTGTCCAAATAGGGATTTTGTTGTAGGGCTTGTTTTTTCCCTCCAATGAAAAAAATCTTGTCAAATATTTTTTATAGCTTAAACTACTGGAACAATTTAACTACTGAATAAAAATATCTTTTTCAGGTTGTTTTTTTTTAATATGGATCCAGCCTATTATTTCAGAGAGGTAATATCAGCATTTTTCTATGCTATCTTCTGTCATCCAGGCATTGTAAAATAAAGATTTTTAGTCAACAATACCATCTATGACCCTCTTTTGGCAAGGAATTGAAAAGATAATTACACACCAATTGAACTATTTGTGAAAAGTATTTATTTTCTTATTCATTTATTGCATCCAAAGGCTGATGAAAGATGTTTCTCCTTTAGTTATCACCTACTGAAAGCTGCAGTACCAGGCTGAAACATCCACATAAGACAACGGCGTGATGGCCTCTCGTTTGCTCAAGTACTCAGTGCTTCTTCAGAAGTACCGGGCTCCGCTGCTAATTGCCAGCTGTGGAGGAGTCTTTGCAGCCAATATGTTCTACCACGCTTTCCCAGACCAGTCCTACCGTCAGCTCTATCAGGCCTGGTATAAAGGAGAGCCAGTGGTGCTGTCGGAAAAGCTGGAGGGTTTGTTTCAGCAGGTAGTTTCTGTTCTCTTGTCTCTTCATTAAAGATGGTATTTCAATCTTAAAGTAAATTATAGCTGTAGGAATTACGGTGTAGATAAAAAAGTGGAAACTTTGTTAGAATCATTACATTTGTATATATTTTTAAAATTTTTCTTTTTTGCATTATTTTGTTTTCCGCTTTCATTGTTTTGTAATGCTGTGAATGTTCAGATTTCAGTTAATTATCATATGTTAAAATAAAAGATTCAGGTTTCATTTTACATATTTGTTTTGTTTGCAGGTGCTTAAAGACTTTGGTGTCAGCTCAGCCAAGAGCTTCTCTGCCTTCGCCTCCTTTGGGTTCCACCCGGTTGGTGCTGGAGTTCCATGGCTGCCTGCCGGGGCCCAAATCGGCATCCCAGCTAATTTTAACAGCACTGCAGAGGATCCAAGCGGGATTACCAACCGCAACATCTTCATCAACGGCAAAACGGTGGACTGGAACAGCGAGACCGGCAGCGCTCTTAAGGAGGCACTGGTGTTCTCTTTAGAGGCGCAGAAGTTTGCCATCGCTCGTGAAGTGGCTCGCTTACAATCCGGGGGTCCTGTCATGACGGCCGCCGTCGCTCCTTTCTGCCTGGGTGGGGTTTGGGTGTACAGCGTGGTGCTAAAGCAGGTGTTTGGGCTGCATGGTGGCCCCTTGCTGATGCGCGGGGCGGTGAATGTTCTGGCACTGGGAATAGGGGCCGTTTCTTATTTCCTCACCTCGGACGCTGTCAACCAGTGGATCGACCACAGCTCAGACCGGCGCGCAGCCGAAGTGTCTCGAGAATATGCCAAAGGAGGAGTGGAGTTTTACAATAAAATCCTATCCAGAAATAAGACGCTGCGCTCACTGATGGGACAGAAGGGAGAGGAGATGTACGCCCCCAGTGGGAACCTGTTTCCTGCTCACGTCCTGCAGCTGAAGCACACCCCTTACACCACCAGGAGAGATGGCATCCTGGCTCTGCTGAAAGAGGACAAAGCATAAGAACTTTTACTAATAAGAAAACGTTCAATATTTAGCTGCAAAGTTGTTACCAGCAGGCAGATATTTCTAATAGAAATACGTCATCCTGTCTCTGCTGAATGTTTTATTTTTTTTGTGTCATTAAAATATAATTACAATTTACACAAAACTTTGGGTTGTCTCATATGTAGCGGCTCGTGTGAATGTTATCCAATAAAAGACATGGTGGGCTCTAAAATCAGCAAAAAGTTGCTGTTTTGATGCAAGGCGTGCTGCTAGCAGCGCTTAGCAAAAGTATCCTAACTTTTTCACATTTTGCTGCATTTGAATCATTCATTTTCAAGTATTGTGTGACTGACCATAAGAATGTTAAAAATAATTCTGAAGTTGAATGAAATTGGTAAATTCCAGTTCCAGAAACAGCCATTCCCACAGCATGATGCTTCCTCCGCCATGTCCTGCTGAGAGAATAATGAGCAGTGTTAGTTTTCTCTCATACATGATGTTTGGTGTATATACCAGAAAGTTAAATGTTGCTCTCACCTTAGCCACCTGCCTTCTCTTACATTGTTTACAAACTGAATTGGGGCATCATAGTTCAATTAAGCTCTGGCTGCACCTCCATAAAGCTCAGCTTATTAGTTTGTCAACAAGCTCTTCTACAAACTGTTGTGGGTTTCACCAGTTCCTTCAAAGTTATAATGGACTTCTCAGCTGTTTGCAGGTTAATACTCTACTAGCCCAGCCTGTCAGTTTAGATAGAAAGCCATTTCTCAGTGGAGATGCAGCTGTCCATACTCATCTATATTAAGATGATGGTTTGAAATGCTCTCTGAGATGCTCAAAGTTTTGACATTTTTTATTGGTGACCTGTTCCTTGTTCCTCGTGCTGCTTTAGGTTCAATAATCTGAGGTTTTCACAGAACAGCAAGACTCACCAGAGATAATTTTATACATAGATTTAAATAGGAATTGATCTTCAATACACGGGAATCAGAGCAGTGGGGCTAAAAACGGGCATAAATCACAACTCTGCAATCATTCAACGTCTTATAAGAAAAGAAAATCATGTTCTTTTTCATTACTAGTATGCACCACTTTATATTGGTTTATGAAATCAAATCTGAGTAAAATGTTCTGACTGCAGCATGACAAGATATGGATAACATGGAAGATAACAAGGCATCCTTTCATAGATAAACTATGATACCAAATAAACTGTATATTGTATTAAAACCATGGATTTCCTACCAGAATAAGAATATATACATAAACTCACTGTTTTCTAGCCATGAGAACAATGCATCATCACAACATTGATGGTAAACATTAATAATCCTTTTTTTTTTTAATGCTTGAGTTTCATGTTCTAAATGTCTCAAATTTGTGCAAATATTTTCAGGCTTTTTTATTATTTCACTTTTTCAGTGTAAGGCAGTAGCACTGATGTAGCGGCTGGTTTGAGAACTGACAGTAGTTTTAAATATCTATGCTATATAAATAAACTCAAATTGGTGGTTGGTTTTCAATATTTTATAAACTTGAGAAATTGGCTGGGATAAGAGTCAGAGAAGTAAACGTTTTGGATAAATGGCGCCCTCTGCTGGCTGAACAAAAACCAACCAACTGTATGTGATTATCTTTCTGTGTAGTTTAAATAGTCTAACCTAGTTTAAATATTACATATATGTTGCTGCTAAATTTCTTCAAATAAGTTTAATCTAAAAAATAAAACCTAAGGATTGTTTACAACCACTGAGGCACATCAGTATCTCCTGCAGGTAGTTAGCCCTTGACATATGCAAAATAACATGAGGTTGAATTAGTTGCTTGTGCTATTTTGACGACTGCTTCCAAAATATGAAAAAAATATGACAACCAAAATAAATGTTTTATTATTGCCTGTGCTAGCAGATGAAAATCCCAATTATTTTTAGCCTTTATCACTCTTTTTATAACTAATCAGTCTGACAGACATGAAACAGGAGGTCCATCAATGCAGAGAGATGTGACATCGAGAGCCAACCTTAGCTTTCAAAGGTTTTAATGAATGCTTCTTTCCCTTTTCATCAGCACAAAGCAGCTTTTTGTTGCTAAGTGTTGGCGAAGATTGTGAAAGAGCCTTATCTATGATTTCATCATCATTCCTGTCTGAGTATTTAGTGAAAGGCAAAGAAAAACATTTTTTTTTTACAGAGAAGAAAGAGTTTAAGATTGACCCAGAATCAAATATCTGTAATGCTACAATAGCTGGACTAGTTTGTCGTTCAACAATTGTGTGGAAACCTTTGATATCTATGTATTCCCTTCAGGTTAAAGAAGAAAAAAAAATGCAACACACAAAGGATCTTTGATTTTGCCTGATCAAACTAAACTCGTTAGTGATAGCAGTTTAATGTGCAGTTCAATGGGACTCAGGTCTCATCATCCCCAGTACTTGTATTTCCCCCAGGTCATCTGTCTGCATATTAACAAGGCTCAGATATGCTGTTTTAATTACATCTTCAATCCAAAACCCTGTAGACTGAACTAAATATAGAAGCATATAATTAGGCTGAAGATAGAAATTATTATATCTTTACCCAAGTACCCTTTGGAACCAAGACAATGAGGTGGAAATCTAGACTGTTTCTTTTTGTTTTCTTCCTCTTCTTTTTTGCTTTTAGGTCAAAACACATAAGAGCTTTTACATACATCCGTAAACCATAGATCAGTTCAATCATTAAGAGCCATCGACCTGCTACTGTTAGATGCACCCCTGCTCCATTATCCCCAGTTTGCTGAATAGGGAATGAACACACCATTCAACTCTGCAGAGGCCTGGCAATGAGCCTGGTTTGATCCAGGTTTGTTTGAGAAGGTATGAGTCCAAAGGTTGGGGAAAAAGTTCCTCTTTAGGGCTGGACTTAAAAGCTTGAAGAAAATCTTGGAGGAGGTGTACAGGGTATGCAGGAGTCTATTACTGCCTCCTGTGGATTGGGGCAGATGATGCTATCATCTTCCTCCTGCACCAAGCTCTGATTCATCGAGAGAAACCTGGAAGCACAGTGAGGATCATGTTCTTTGATTTCTCCAGTGCTTTCAATGCCATCCAGACACGACTCTTAAGGGATAAGCTGCAGCTATCATTAGTGGACCTGCACATGTCCAAGTGGAAAATGTACTACCCAACTGGTCTCCCGCAGTATGTTAGAGCAAGGGTCTTCAAAGATTTCCAGGCCAATGACCCCCAAACCGATGGTAAGATGGAGCGGGGACCCCCTGATTATATATATTGTATAAAATAGTGTTATATCAAACTGGTCCTATAGACTCTATTACATATGGAGTCATGTAACGAAAGTCTCGCCCTGGATTATTAAAGTATTTCTGATTCTGATTCCTGGTTGATGGGACAGGTGTTGTGAATGAAACGGTGCCCAGTTTGAAAGAGCTCCTGTGTGTCGCTGAATGTGTGCATTGATGACTGAAAGACATCTTCTGCCTCCATTTATCTGGTTACTACAGTGTGTTGAATTCATGTTAATGTGAATTTAAATACATTTCAATTAGTGGAAAAATTGCAGGGGGGGATATAAAAAAAAAGTCTAATCAACCAAGGCTTTTGTGACTCCCATGCAGCACCTTAGGGGATCCCCTAGGGGTCGTGGACCCCCTGTTGAAGACCTCCGTGTTAGGGCACAGGGCTGTGTCTCAAATAGGTTGGTTTGCAGTATGGGAGTCCCACAGGGAACAATATTGGCACCTTTTTTCTTCACCCTTTACACTGCAGGCTTCTCTATCAACTCCGAATGCTGCCGCCTGCAGAAATTCTCATCCTCATCACGGGTGGGGAAGACTCAGAGTACAGACGGTGATCCCAGAACTTAGTTGTCTGGTGCCAACAGAACCACATTCTGATTAATGCAGGGAAAACTCTTCCTGCTGAGGAGACTTTTATCAGCATCTTCTATGGAGCTGTCTGTTGGAGCAGTGGCTTATCTGTAGCTGAGAGAAAGCGGCTGGATAAGCTGGTCAGGAAGGTTTGCTCTGTGATTGGATGCCCTCTGGACTCAGTGCACAAGGTGGGAAACAAACGGATCCTAACTGAAATAACATCTCTGTATGATAACGTCTACCAGCACATCAATAAAGCTGTTGCTTCAGTGACAGACTGCTGCACCCTAAATGCACCAGGGAGCGTTATCACAGTTTCTTCCTCCCAGTAGCCGTAAGACTCTATAACCATCTCTGTTCCCAACAACTTCAATAAGTTGTTTAATTGATGCTGATTTTTGCACAGTTTCTGTCTTAATCAGTTAACCAACATGTTGCTGTCGTTTTTTTGCACATCTTTGTTGTCGCTGCTATTTTTCACATATCCATTACTGTAAAAATGTCTTCAGTTGTTATTGATTTTTTATTCTCCATATACAGAGTATGTATGTTGTAAAAGCACTGTACAGTACAAAACTCTATTTGTTTTATTTTATACACTTATGTAAGGTGCACATCATGTGACCACTTCTACTATAACCTTTGCTGCTGTAACGCAACAGTTTCCCCATTGTGAGACAATAAAGGGATTTTCTATTCTCTGAACCAAGCAAGATGCTGCATTCAATTCTGGACATTTTCTGTGCTGCAGTTTTGATACTGTTAAGGTGTCAAAGTCAAGGCCAGTTGAGGATATTTTAAAAGAATAAAAATAGCAAAAAAAAAGGCTGGGTTAAAGGTTCCATCACAAAATGAAAAATGCTGGTCAGAACAAAGGGACGAAAGGTTTCCATAAAGTTTTCATTCAGAAGAGCGGAATCAAAAATCCATGCCACACTTTTCAGATTTGTATTTGCAATAAGGTTAGAAAGAAACACAAAAAACATTTCTTCCACTTCACCATTATACCCTACCTAGAGTTGGTGTACAGGCTTAAATCAAAATAAAAATATAATATATATTGCACCTATAATAAAATAGGAAAGCGGCGACTAATTTAAATAACAATAAAAAGCTTCCACAAATACATAAACATATCAAATCTCCCTTTTTCCTGTTTATAGCTGTTTATAGTGTTGCTCATAATAATTGTTTTTGAGTGGAATGAAGAATTGGAAAAAAATAATAATGGAGCAGTGCAACAAAAAAAAGCAACGTTGAACTGTCGTGTTCACTTCATCATTTCTATGACTACAAAGTGGCCTTTTAGGCAACAGAGATCAACAACACTGGATCCATTGTCCTGTTTTCGCTGCTCGGCTTCATCAGCGTACTTTATTGTATGCCAGGCAGCCATCTGAACAATGGCTGCATTGTTTGCTGCAGTGGGACGTGTAGCATCCCTTTTCATGCCACTTGAGGTCAGTGCAACCCACATTACTATCCTGACAGGCTATGACTGGGCCTCATGGTTGCTTCTGAAAAGCCATCCAGAGCTTTTCATTTTCACAGTTTTAATTTTCTTTCACTTTTAAAAGTCTAAAATTGTGATTTTTTTTTCATTACAACAAAAACATGTGCTGTAGGCACTGAGCCTATTAAAATACAAATAATTTAAATAGAAACTTACAGCATTAATATCATTATTGAGAAAGATTCTGAGCTTCCTAAAGCAGCACAACCAGTCATTAAGCATACTGATCATATACTGAAATGCAACTTATTATTTTTCCCATCTTATTTAATGTAGACAATCCAAAAAACTTATAAGAAACAAAGTATAGTAAGTATTTATTTTTTTAGACAAACTTTATTGTTATTTTGAACACACAGGGTGCATACAAAACGAAATTTAATTTAGTACAGCTCTCATTTCCAATTCCATTTCTTAAAAAGCAGCAGTGATAAAATGTAAACATGGTGATCAAATGTAAATATAAGACTGAGATATAGTATAATTCATAGATGAGATGAGATATGAATTTTGCACAACAATATTCGTATGATTCTACACAAAGCATGACTATTGAGGCAGCATGGGTGACACTAGAGGGGGGTCAGGGTGGCCATGGCCACCCCTACCATCTGATCCTATAATTCAGAAGCAGTTAAAGTCTCAAACAGAGGGTGGCAGCACTAACAGCCTCAAGTGGAATGTTTTAAAATATGTAACATTTTAATTGTTCACACATGAACAATAAAACTGAAACAACAATTCCATGGTTCATTACTCACATCAGTATACTGACAGTAAAGATGATAAATACAGATTTCATCCTCTTCTCAGAACTCTTTTTTTTGTCTTTTACAGGAAAAAGAGAAAAATTATGTGTCTCTGCAAGTCTTGTAGAAGTCTTTAATGCAAGTAGAGACAAATTAAAGCTAAATCTATTTATTGTAGGTATAAGTATATGTAAATATTAATATTATGCAATACTGTTATTGATGAAAATATAAGGAATACCTTTTTCCGGAAGTGCAGGTAAGAATAATAGATAAGATAGATAAGATAAATAGATAAGATGTTCCCCCCGGAACTCATGCTTGTACAAGACAGCATAGATATGTAAATTTGCGCACAAATTAATTAGAAAGGGCTTCAGGAAAGTCTAACTTATATTTATTCGGAAAATATGGATGTTTCCTGTTGTAACAGTGTAGATCGACCCTGAGGGTCTGGTTCCTATCCACTCTGCTCCTGGATATATATATATATATATATATATATATATATATATATATATATATATATATATATATATATATATATATATATATATAAAATTATTCAGGTATACTTATTTTAAATAAGACTATTATCAATGCCAGTTGTGTCACCGCTGATCATGTTGAAAAAAAATTAATGTGTGAATCAATTAAATCCCCCATATTTCCATTAAGAAACAAGGTTTTTTTTGTGTAAGATAATACCAAAAATAATCATTTTTTCCCCACATTGACTGTAAATAAGTGGGACAGGCTCTGTACCAAGGTTTGAAAACACCGACCATTTTCTAGCCTAAAAATAATGACTAGATTTGATAGTATTGGTTTGTTTAAAAGATTTAAATAACTTTAATACTTTAAAAAAGGTTTATAGCAGGAGCATCTGCTTCTCAACACTGTAAAACCATAATGTCTTTAATCAGAAGGACCTTAGGAACTCCAACACTGACTGCTGTAGATGCATCCACCTATAATGGCCAATAACATCTTGAGAAACAAACTTAGATTAGATAATTTTCTTTAAAAATGATAAAATTGAATTGAACTGAACCATTGGCCAACACACCCCTGAAATAGTCAATTGCTTGCATTTTTTTCACCACATGATAAAAATTTGCTACCTCATGCTGTTCATAATTATATTAACAGATGTGCAATATTTGGTCAATATATAAATGATTGCAAGAAAGGTTTGCGTCAATTGAAAGAGCAAAAACATATATATATATATTTTTGCTGTTATTCTGGACACTAAATGTTTATCACTTTTTTATTTATTTACATAAATGCTTTTTTATTCTTAGGTAAAAATGTCCCACTATATATTAAGATAATTAAAAACCTACAAAAAGCACCCACAGCCCAATAGTTTAATGATGTTTTGGTTCAAAGGATAATACATACTGACTGTTCAAGCTGTGTTGGTTGTTACAGGAATGATGCTGTGTGTTGGTTCTTCTATATACTTCGACTATTTCCACAACACCAAGTTACCCGCTCTAAATTGAATGGTGATGCAATAAAGAATAGAAAACTAATTTGTGGCACAAAATATTTTTTGAATTTGTGCTGCCTCTAATCTACTGGTGCCATGGGCAGTGAACTAGATCTTTAACACGGCAGTGTTGATAACCAATAACCACAAATGTCTGCAACAGCAAGGAGACTAAATACCAAATTGTTAGACTTTATTGTAATATATTACTGTAGCATTTTTGCAGAAGTCTCGTTGTTTGTATTAAAGCACTTGGTAAATAACTGAATCTGTTTGTTTTGAGCATATCAAAAATACTTACACAGGTCAAAGCTGAGGTTGTTCTACACAGGATGTAGAGTCTTTGGTTTCAATTTAAAAGCCATGAAACTATTATATATAGCTTGTGTATAAAAAGAAAAAATAATAATTATAGTTTGTTTTTTTTCCATTAGGATTCCGTTTGATCTAGAAAATGTAAAAAGCCACACAAAAATGAATCATGTATTTTATTATTTTTTACGAAGACCACGATTGGTTTAGAAAAACAAATGAATTTTTTGCTTAAACATTCTGATCATTTACATAAATGTTATGGATATATTTTTTTGCAGACTGAATTTAATATGGGAAGTGTATTTTCATGTTTGATGTAATGTAAGCAAAAAGGGTGGCTGATAAAATAGTCAGTTTCTTGTAAAAGAAAAGGTAAAGTGGTGATAATAAGAGTCACAAATGAATTGCTTAAAACTAATATCTGCTGTATAAGCTCATCTAATGAAGGATTGTCATTAGTTACTTTAAACAGTTTCTCTGCAATTAATCTTTTTATTTTTTCTCCAAATTTTAATAATCTGTAGGAGCTATTTCTCAAGTTTTATTTAAATCTTAGAATTTTGGATTATTTAGTTTGATTTTTTATTTAGAATAGGATTTGTTTAGTGATTCACTTATTTAGTTAATTCATTTTAGCATGGGATGTAGGTGTTTCACAGTATGAATAGGTAGGTCTTAGGTAGCTCATTATGCACGTGGGTGGTCATGTTTTTTTTTTAACCAGTTTTCAGTAACAGTCTCAATCAGTCAGTCAATTAAAGAACAGGTAGAGGAATCAGAGTGAGAGCAAAAAAAGAATCCTGTGAAGCCTGTAAACTGTTTGTCAGAACTGAGAAATAAAGCAAGCATAGAACTAGATTTTGACCCTTTTGGATCTTTGTGTAAGCCAGAATCCACGGTGCATCAGGTGGCTATTTGCGTTGAATTCACCTTTTGTTCTGACCCGGTCTTACGTTTTTAGAATTTTAGTTTTGTATAAATAGTCACTACATCCATCCATCCATTATCTGACACGCTTGTCCCAATTGGGGTCGTGAGGGGTGCTGGTGCCTATCTCCCCTGAACAGGTCGCCATTCCTAGTCACTACATAATCTATGAAATTATTATTATTATTTTTTTTACATTTATTTTTTTTACAGTGTCCTGTCTGGCAATTTGGCAACAAGTGAAGCAGTATAGCCATCGCCATAGTGGTCCGCTTTATTTATGCATATAAATAGCTTTATTATAATTCATGCAGGGAGTATTACAGATTTTATGGACACTGCAATGTAGGTAGAACAGGAAAGGAAAAACAGAAAAAAAGGAGAAAGGATGAAAGAAAGAGAAGAAAAAAATGGAGATAATGATAAAACATCTTCGGTCAAATGTAAAAAGAACAGCACAACCAACAGACATGGTACAAGACATAAAATAAAGTAAAACCTTGGTACTATCGCTGAAGTATACGGAAGAGAATTAGGGCCACTTAAAAAGTATAACCGATGTTTAGATTTTATTTCAGTATAATATCAGAAAAAAAAAAAAACTTTTTTCTTAGAATTCTGACTTTAATCTTAGAATTCTGACTTTAATCTCAAAATTCAGACTTATTTTTTTTTTTTTTACAGAATTCTGACTTTAATCTGAGAATTCTGACTTTTTTCTCAGAATTCTGACTTTAATTTCAGAATTCTGACTTTAATCTCAAAATTCTGACTTAAATCTGAGAATTCTGAATATTTTTACCATATCAAACTGAAATAAAATGTATAAATCAGTTAACTTTTTAAAAATTTTTTCAGTGGCCCTAATCCTCTTCCGTAAAAGTAATAATCTATTAAATGAAATGTTTAATTTTTTGCGCTTGAAATCAAACACCGCGCCTCCCGCTGCCCCGCCACGCCCAGACGCGCTCTGCGGCTGCGCGAAGACGTCACTGCACAGCTCGTTGCTGCGCTGCTGCTGCAAGGCGAGAGAGCAGCTGCAGAAGGAGAGAGAGAGAGAGATCAGGGAGCACTGACAACAACGGACAGCCTCACGCTGGAGAAGTCCGAAACGCCACATTTTCTCCCTCTGTGATCCGACAGTTTTCAGCTCCAACCTTCTGACTGCATATTTATCTGCTCGTTTTTCTTTTCTCTCGCTGGCTTTGGGACTATTTCTCACCCCGACGGCCTGAAATGACAGGATAGGAGCCTCGTCTAGCCAATGCTTACTGCAGGGGCTTCTGTCTTGTGGATTATCCGTCGTCGCCGAGCCAATCGCACAGTCGAGCCCGGAGGAGGCCCCGCTCTGCTGGATGGATGTGTGTGAGGCGGCGCGGTGGTAACGATGCTGCTGCTCGGCTTTCATCGGCACTGGGTCAACTGATCTTGGATGTCCGGGCTATATCGCCCCCCCTACACGAACCATTTTCTCCCACAGCTACACTTTAATTCATTAAAAACTGGACGCCCCTGGAGCAGTTTATGACGGTAAGCACTTTATATGCACATATATCCCCTTTAACGGTCAGTTGACGTTAGCAAACTAGCTTAGCTCTGTCACTTTTATCCAGCTAAAATAGCTAAAATTGCTATCAGTGCTACAAGATATTCGGTTAACAATTTCCAGAAGGGCTTTTTTTTCTCGTTGTTTTCATTTTATTCTTAATAAAATAAACGACATTCAGTCTAATTGTGTTGCCTGCATGTTAGCTTTTTAACCCATTCAGTATTAAACATTAGCTAATGAAATGTGCGCAGTATTTGGTTGTAATAGAAATATGTTTGTGTTGACACGCTTTGCTATTTATTTGTTTTATCCTATAAAAGAGAAGCTCATTCATTGGACAGTGTACAATAAGCCCCTATAAAGAGGAGCCCAGTTAGCTTATTCACCATTACGACGTTTCAGTTTGTATTTTAACGTCTGTCAGAAAAGGCTTAACTTAGTTTTATTGGTGAAGAACAGCTGAAGAGAGGCTTGATTCCCTGGTGTTTTCTAGAAACGCCACTCTGCCTGCGTGGATAATCTGCTTTCAGCGTGGCTTTGCAGTAATAATCGTTATTTGTTGCTGAATGGATGGGAGGTTGGTTATTTTGTGGATGGGAAAGGTCTGTTGTGATGAGGCGTCCTTTTTTTTTTTTTTTTTCTACCATGACGTAATCCCCCACCATCCGTGCCACATCTTTTCGGGTCGCAGTCGTACGGTTCCTCCACCGCATATGGAGCTCAGTCCTGTTTGCCTCTGAATGAATGAAAGACTGTAAAATTTGCAGTTTACTTTGAATGAATCGTCTCATCCAGGCAGTTATGAATGAAATCTAGAGGATGAGGTTGGCTGCAGGGCCACAACTAGTTTTGTTGCCATGGCCACCAACTTTAATATTTCCCCCCAATGTGAAAATTACATGAAATTGATAATAAAAAAAAATGTCAGGGTTTATGAAGTATTGTCCTTTTGAAAGGTTGCTGGCAGCTATTACCTGCAGTAGATGCAGCAAATTTCTTCAGTTTATTTTTAGCTAGGGATGCACTCATCCAATACTTGGATCGGATATGGGCTCCATTATTGTATAATTAGCAGGATGGCATATCGGATGAATCCAGTCAATTCTAGTTTTATTGATATCATACACAGAAATACAGTTCCATCGATTCAGTCATTACTAGGATGATTTATATCTTGTGTTGTGTCAGTGTTTTTGTTAAGTATAATGCGTTTAATCACATGGTGAGTTATATCCCTTCTTTGGTTACCATGGCGGCGCTCCAAGGCAGCAGCCAAGAGCAGCTCTTCTCGAGAATTTCACCAAAAAAAAGCCGCCTAAAACGATACAAACTAGACATCATCATCGCCAAAGCCTGCTGGAGCTATAGTCACAAAATGTTTTAAATACAGACATTTTTGACCGTTTAAAAAGCTACGGAGTGCTACGGGCTGATGTCAACAAGGCAACAGCGGAAAATAACGGACAGAAGAAGAGATGCCCGAGACGGAGAAAGCGAGGTTGCAGAGGGGGACTAACAGCGAAGCTAAAGAGAGATCCCCTCAGACCACCGCTTCGATCGATCCTGCTCTCCAACCGCTCGTTGGAAAACAAAATGGATCATCTCTGACTCGAACTCTCTTCAAAAACGGAGATATGTAACTGCGGCGCTGTTATTCTGATGGGGTCTTTGCTGCATCCAGCAGTTCTGCGTAAATGGAGGCTCCTCTGAGACTGTTCCCAGGCAATCTTTGGCATCTAGAAGAGAAGCACAGCCTTCTGCAGGTGAAAACGACAAGAGCGCTAGATTCTTCCCTGCCAAATGCTGAAACTCCCCCAGCCGGCAACTCCCGGCCCCCTCTGGCTTCCACACCTTCTCCAGCATCGTCCATCACTGCTAAACCTGCCGATGGCACCACTGCTGCTTCAACAACGTCAGCCTCTACAACCCAAGGGGCTACCACCCTCATAGCATCGTCATCATCGTCCTCTTCCTCCTCTGAGCCAGGAGAAGCGAGTGCTTCAGCAGCTGGAGGCAGTAGTAGTAGCTCAACAACAACTGCTGCTTACCTTAACAATTGTCTAGAAAGCTGTTCTAAACAAAGTTTCTTTTTGTTTACACTTGTGTATACAAAATGACCAAAATAAATCTGTCTAAGTCTTCATGATTATCAGATTGGTATCAGATATCGGCTGATATACTCATTTCCTGTGTTTGGATTGGATTGGGCAAAATGGGTCAGTGCATCTCTATTTTTATTTAAAAAAAACAAACCACTGGACTTTGTTTCTAAGTTTGAAGGCATTTCGCCCCCCATCCAGGAAGGTTTCTCAATTCAAAATGTCTGGATTCGCATTGAGTTTGAGGCTTTATAGAGTGAACCAAAAACAAATCCTTGTTTTTGCTTAGAAAACATGCAAATTAAACCCGACGAGCGGGTCCGCAACTTTAGAATGGGGGTCACTTGGTCTCTATTTTCAGCCTCTTTTTAAGTTTCAGATCATCACACAAATTTCAATGCTAGACAAGGATAATGTGAGTTTAAACAAAGAGGCTTTTGTTGATCTTTTTTGCAGCAAATATGTGGAAAACATGTACCCCAATAAAACTTCTGAACTGGCTGTCTGTCTTGGCCCACATTTGATTAGCTGTTAGCATCACACACCTGATCGTGATGCTTTTCAAACTAAACTCAAAGGACAGCAAAGTTATAGTAAGGGTTTGAAAGACCATCCTTTACAGCATGTCAAATTGTGTGCAGTCAAAGAGAATTTTGAGACTTTAACTTTAACAAAACTTACCTTAGATCTACATGAAGTTGAATGTTTTAATAGCAAAGTTGCTCTTATTTATGTCCCCTTAAGCTCTCAAATGTTTTTTGTCATGGAGCATGCTAGATTTGGAAATAATAACCATTTGGAAATCTTAGGCGTCTTAAAGTCTCTAAGGAATGCACACAGAGAGTGCTAAACAGGCTAATCTGCTAACCTAAGATGCTGAAAACGGTTCACAATGTCTTTGCATACTTCGGTTTCTTTCCACGGTCCTGTTCTGGTAATTTGAGATTCTAAATCTCTCTTAATGTCAGTGGGAAAAGGTTATGGTATGTCGTCCTGGTGAGGATGTCCGGGGTTTATACCCTGCCTCTTTGGTGCTCCCTGTAACCTACAAAGAACTAACTAGTTATAAAATATGGATGAAGATAGTTTAATGACAGAGAACCAAAAGTAGATGGTTTGTTGTTGTTCATGTGGATGATTCTCATGGCCTGATATCTGTTGATCTGGGTATTTTGTTCAGGACATAATTTCACTGTAAACTGGGGCATCTTATTAGGGATCCTCTATGTTAGAGGATCCTTAACTTTTTAGCTTCTGACCAGCAGGATTGTACCAGAGTCAACTCATGACCCAAACTATTGGTTGAGTTTACAAACATTTCTATAAAATCAATTAGTATTAGTTGTTTCCATTTTTTGTACCTTTTAAGCTCTTTAACAGAAATGTTTATTCTTTAGTATAATTCATTTAGTTTATGTCCCCACGTTGGGGATCAGTGCTGCATTTCAAGTATCCAGATCTAGCCTGGAGGACTTGTAACTAACTTGATAGATTTCACTGATTCATGTTTAATATCCTACTATGTTATCTTTTATTCCAAGTCTGCTCTAAATTGGCTGTTTTTTGTTAAATATTATATAAATATGATATAAATTCTAATATTTGTTGTGTTGAGTAGAGAGAAGATGGAAATATCCATGTTTATGTTAAAAATATAGATCTTTGGAGATCTTGATTTTGAAATCCTGCCAAACAACAACAGCCCATGTTTGTTTTATTAAGTTGAAATGCACTCTATCCACTCTTAGTTTAACTGAAATGATAAATTCCTCTCTGATCAGGGCTCTAGTCTGGACGTGTTTTCCTCTGGCTCCAAGTGATGCGTTTTACAAGTGAAGCTGGGAATGGCAAAGCTTCCCATGGCAGGAGCCATGCTTTTCTTTATAGGCCAAATTCAGCCTGTTGTATTAAGTTTTAAAGCTAGAGGAGGCATACGTTTGCCTTAATTATTTATTTACCCATTTTAAAGGCATTTTGGTTGTTATCAACAGAGGTTAGGGTATCTCTCTATAATCTGGATTTTTCTGTTAAAGTGACTTGCTTTTAGGGCAGTGTTGAATATTTTGGTCTTAAAAACTTTTTGGTTCACTTCAAGGTGAGTTAGATATTTTTTAATACACAAAACAGTCTGCTTGTTAATGTTTTAACCTAAAAGATTTCTATACTTTAACTGCATTTTATTTTAAAATGCAAAAAAGTTTTAATGGTAAAGATATAATACTGATGGACCTGTTGTAATATACTTTTACCAGTCATTTAATTGGTATCTATTCTAACCAAAAAATTCAGCAGAACAATTACCCAAGTAAAATCTCTGTTCCTTCCAACAGTTTAAAATTGAGAAACAATCCCACAATTGTGATAAATATTATTTCACATGTTTCTCTGTACATTTAGTGACATAAAATGCCTTTCAATTTAAGGTTTTAGATTGCTGTTAGTGTCGATTTGTGACCCAGACACCTTCTTGGGATCTTTAAAGGCATCTTAATGCCCTCAATTTTTCTCAGCATTTGAATTATTTGTTTTACTGTTGGATTTAAACTAAATCTTCAATTAATTACATTTTTTTTCTGCCATCGTCATTCACAGCCTTTATACAATAAAGTTCAATAATATTGTGAAATCATTTAGGAAGTTATTTCTTCCTTTCTAAATTGGATTGACCACATCAATTCACAGAAACAAAGAATGCATCAGCTGATAGCAATGGGGATGACTTGTAACCACTTTTATACCTTTATGATCACTCTGGCTGACTACTGGGAGCTGTAAAGTCTTCTGTTTATCAACTAGAAACAGATTGTGTCAGTCATGCTGCGCAAGCTGTTAGCTGAAGAGTGCAGGTGGAGGCTGCTAGCAGGTAGAAAGGATCGATGCTG